CTCATGGGAGGCGAGAATGTTGAGGCTTTTCTCCTATGTTTTGGGCATGTTGTTAGGGATGCCAGTCCTTGGAGAAGGACATCACGCTAGAAAAAGTGGAGTGTTAGTGAAAGAAAGAAAGATGCCCACTGAAGTGGATTGACTTAGCAACTGTAATGTCATTGTTGATTGCCTCTGTGTGGAGCATGACTCAGCGACTTCATGAAGAAAAGACCAGAAGCCCCTCTACAAATATCGACATTTATCAAAGCTCATAGAGTTTCTGGAGGTGTGTTGTTTAGGAAGTAGATGCCATCCTGCTTCCAAGTGGCTGTAAGAGTGGTCTCAAATCCATGAGAGGTGAGGGGGGTGGCTCAGGACAGGGCAAAGCTCAGATGCCTTGTCCGCGAGGTCACTATGAGTGATGGCACCCAGCGACAGAAATTACTCTTTTGAGGTGCTGCTGTCAATTTGACCCCTTAGAGGCGGTTCTTAAAAGAACTGAATGTTCAAGACAACCATTCTTTATTAGTTAGCCTAAACTATTGTGTGGTTTTAAGACTTTGGGGGAGATTTTTCATTTAAGGTTTAAAGGTGATCTTGAGGCAATGACTTCAGGAGTTAACCCACTCTCTATCACTCAGAAAGTCCAGTGTTGATGAAAATGTGAACTTCTGTTCTGCATTGTCTCCCTTTTGGTCACTAAAATTATTTTATGCCTCTTGAGGGAGTCCTGGTACCCTATTGGTAAGAAGCTGTGCTGCAATCCCAACGGCCCACAGTTCAAATCTACCAGCTGTTCTACGGGAGAAAAATCGGCAGTCTCCTACTGGGCGATTTACTGCCTCTGCTTCCATAAACCCCTGGAAGTTCAGCTGTGAGTCAGTCTCCACGTGGCAGCACAAAATAACAAGACAAACAGAATTTAGAAATAGTTGTAATGTTCTTCCCTGGTCTCATAACTTACTCTGTCCTCAGAACAGTCACCCAGATGATACCAACCAGCTTGTGTCCTGAGCAAAGCTCAGAAGGGAGGAAGGGGCAGGAAAGGAGAAGCGGAAGCAGAAGACAGGGAAGGGACCATGCCACCAAGGAGATTGGCGCTAACGGCACAAAACAGAAGGCGTATAACTGTGGAGTGGGAATTTTGTTTCCTCCATAAACTCTCAAAACATAATAAAACGTTCAGAACAAAACCCAATCAAATCAGCTGTAGCATCAGTGGAAGAAAAGGGAGAATTTGGTGACTCAGGTGAGACTGTGGGCTCCCAGCTCCCCAGCTGTTCTCACTGTGTATGTGAGGAGTCAGAGGGACTCAGGGGCCGGTCTCATGGAGGCCCTGTGTTTCTTCTTTATCAAGAAATGAGTCAGAGAAGGAAACAGAAAATTGCTGCAGGCAGCAAAAGGGTTGTGGTTTCCAGAGACCCAGCATTGCCTGTCTGTGCAGACCCGCCTCTGGGCCCGTTTCTCCCTTGGAGCAAACACCCTGGGAAAGGATGGGAACCTCTCACTCCAGGCCCTTCATGGAGGAAGACCACTGGATGGCAGGACAAAGCCGCTCCCCTGGCAGGAGCTCCGGACCGGAGGTGCAGCGATGTGTGTGGAGATGGACCCAGAGATGAACAGGACCTGTCCAGCTGCAAAAACGGGCTGGGAGAGATGGGGAGCCAATGAGCCCCTGTGTTCCTGGGGGACAGGAAGACATGCTCCAGAGAGTTACGGCGTGGAAAAACGCACAGCCCCCCATGACCCAGGTCCATGCTCATGAGGGTCATGGGGTGGGGAGGGTCACACAGTGGACAGGGTCCTTGTCTCGTGTGATCAAGGTTCACCCTCAGGAGGGACGCAGGATCGGAGAGTCATTGTCTCTGATATAGGTCCAGCCTTGGGGGGACACAGGATAGACAAGGTCCACAGCTCTCTGGGACCCAGGTCCGTCCTCAGGAGGGTCACAGGGTGGAGAGGGCCCGCAGCTCCCTATCCCCTTGGTAAAATGGATTGGTCCGCCTTGTGCTGAGGCCCTCTCTATGCCACTTTCCCAGTGGCCTGGGACCCCTCTGTGTGGCCGTGGTCTGAATGCCCACCTGCAGAAACACTGTGGACACATCGTGCGTGACTGAGTCAAGACTGCTGAGAACACTGAGTCAGACACAAGGGCAGGGGCGGTGTGGGGGCCCCTCGGTCACATGTCGGCCTCAGGAGTCCCACAGGTGGGCAGAGCGGCCCACGGGCTTCCCAGTTGTCCTTTACATGACCAGGTATCCCATCTTTCTCCTGCAGAGTAGCTGGTGGGTTTGAAACACTGATCTACCGGTTAGCTGCTGAGTTCTTTAGCCACTACCTCACCAGGGCTGCTCTAAGATACTTAGATCAGGAAAATGCTCTCAAACTTTAAATTCATCACCATCCAGCGGGCACTGATCCGTAACAGTCTCCAGCAGGCACAGGAGGAGATTGACCATCTCTCAAGTAGTTGCTGGTGAATTCTAACCCTGAGAAGGTGAGGCCCGAAGGTTCCCACAGCCCCCTCCAGAACCCCTGGAAAATTCTATGACAGAAAATGGCACTGCATTCCCTGGGTCGGGGAGCAAAGGGAATTACTGGTCAGTGGGGAGACCCTGGGGGTGGCCTCGTCTGGAAGTGGACGTCAGAGGCGGTGTCTTAGCTGTCAGATGGCGCTGTAGCAAGGACACCATGGGTGGATGGCTTTTACCAAAGGACTTTATTCTCTCACACTTGAGGGAGGCTGAATCGAGATCCAGGGTACCGGCCCCCGGAAGGACCCCCTCTCTGTGGGTGATGGAGGAAGGCCTTCGTTTCCTTCAGCATCTGCAGGCCTGGCTTTTCCTGGGGCCCTCCAGGTGCCCAGTCTTCTCTGTGCCAGGGAGCCCATCACACGGGGCCGGGGCCAGACAGATGCCTCCCACTCCTGGCGATTTTCTCCCAGTGCTGACATCCCCCTCCCCTTTCCTCTCCTGTCATCAATGCTGAGATAAAAGGTGTTTCTAGAGAATTCCATCACATCCTATTAGGGCCTCGAGGGGAGGGGATTCCACCTGCAATCCCTCTACAACTCCAGTTGGTCGTGACAGCTTCCACACTGATCATTACACACTTGCAGTTCGGTGGCACCATTTGACTTGCAGTGACACCACGCTGTGGACGCTAGAAAAGGAGCAGAAGAGGCTCATGGGGATCCTGCCACCACGTGGGCTGGTAGCATTGCACAGCGCTCTGCTGAAAGGCCGGGTGGCATTGCACACTGCTCTGCTGAGCGGGTGGGTGGCATCATTGCACACCGCTCTGCCCAGAGGCCAGGCCTGGAGCAGGGTTTCAGGACGAGGCTGCACAGAGGAACCTGGGCAGTGGGCCCTGGGAGGCTGTGTCCACCAGAGAGGTTTTACTCAGACCTCGCCCATGTGCTCAGGTTTTCCCAAGACACTACCGTGGAGTCATTCTAACGAGCAGAGAGACTCCCCACGAAGGTTTCCACACCAGGAACCCTTCTGGAAGCCTCCTGGCCTCCTTATGGGGAGTGACTGGTGGTGTCCACCTGCCCACCTCGGTTAGCACTTCTGTGCTGACGCTGCTCTCAGATGACAGAAAACCAAAGGTAACGCCACCCAGACTCACTGTGTGCCATAGGCCCGGGTGGCGGGGAGGCTGCGGAGCGGACCGGGCTGCCCGCGGGGTCTGCAGGCTGCCCGCACAGCAGAGGGGGCATAGCTTGTCAGCACCGTGGTGGGTAGCTGACCAAAACAGGGCTCTAAACCACCGGCTGCTCCCCGGTCTTCTCCTCCCAGGAAGACATCCAGCCTGGAGGCCTGCAGAGTGGGCGAGAGCCGGAGCCGCCAGAGGACAGCAGGTTGGCTTTGGTTGGGGACCCCTTTGGGTTTGCCACCTCTTTCCCCACAGACCCAGGGGAGGGTTCCACCACCTGTCTTTCAGTTAGCAGCCTGCTAACCAGTGTGCCACCAGGGCTCCGCTGACTCAGCCCACTGGGAGGAACACCAGCCAGACTGGGCCTGTCTCCATCAGCACTCAGACAGGACGTCCCAAACACCTGGGGGGGGGGAGGCAGGCAGCCAGGGGGCCCATGCCCCGAGGGCAGCTTTGGTTCTGGGGGTGGGAAGACATACCAGGTGGGAAATCTCTCCCCAAACCTCTCCCTCTACCAACAGCTGCTGCTCCGTGCAGGGGTCTGGGCCCAGAGCCTCCACAGATCGGCCCCTCCTTGGGGACGCATTGATAGCTCTCTGCCAGCCCCAACCGCCCTGGGTTTGGATGAAGAGCGAGAGGAGGGTCAGGAGGGCACTCACATGGGGAGCTCTGACGGAGGACAGAATGGAAGAGGAGTGAAGAGCCACCAACTTCAGGGCTGTCCCGGGCCTCACGTGGCCGCCACACTCCTTTCTGCCGTGGGTGTCCGGGAGCTCCCCGTGTGTCCTTCCCCATGAGGACAGCCTGTAAATGACCATGACAGTCTGTTCCAGGCCCAGTGCTGGCCCGCTGGTGCTGTGTAAGCTTCACACAGAGCGGTCCTGGAGGTTCTGCTCTGAAAGCAAAGTCCACCAACCAGGGAAGGTGTGCACCTGGGACCCTGAGTGTGGAAGGTGGTCCTCACAAATGCTGGGGCTCTTCAGGGCCCACCAAGCCCTCCCGAGCTGAGAGAGCAGGGCTGTGAGCACACAGGTGGCTCTGCCGACAGAAGCCAGGAGATGAAGTCTAGGGGCAGGAGTGCCCGAGGAGGAGGCTCCCCACTCACCACTCTCTCCAGGTGTGTCCCCACAGCTGTGGGGCGCAGGGCAGCTGGCAGCTCCGGCTGTGACCATCCCTGGCGTCTCTCCAGCCAAGGAGTAGAAGAGTCTTGGCCAGTGCAGCTCCCGCCCCCACCCCCAGCCGCTGTGCCCTGGGATAGGTGACAAGACCAGACGCCAGGGTCCCAGACTCCAGGGTCCCAGGCTCCCCATCCTCAGGGCCTAGGGTGACCACTGTTCCCGGGCTCCCAGGCCAGGGTGCCTTCAGGAATCCGAGTCTCTGAGGTCCAGGTCCTGGGGCTCAGGCCCCCGGCGCCGGCCTCGCAGGGTGTTGAAGGCCCTTCTGTAGGACACGCGGAAGGTGGGGTTGGAGAAGCAGTAGACCACCGGGTTGAGCACGCTGTTGAGGTAGGTGAGGCCACCGGCCACGTCCGACGCGTGCTCCACGGCCCTGAGCACTGCACAGCTCTGCGACCCCCGGTAGACGTCCGCCAGAACCCTGACCAGGAAGCTGGGCAGGAAGCAGAGCGCGAACAGGACCACCACGGTGGTGACCAGGGCCCGGGCCCTGCGCAGCCTGGGCTGTCCCCCGGGCTCACGGAGCCGGGCCTGCAGCGTGTGGATGAGGCCTGCGTTGCAGAGCAGGATGAGGCCGAAGGGCAGGACGAACTGCAGGAGGAGGAGCGCCTCCGGCCACACGGCGCCCACGGACAGGTCCTCGCGGGGCTGGCCGCGGCACTCGGTGCTGTTGCTGGGCGCCCCCGGGAGCAGCAGGCCCTGGGGGGCGAGGCCGGCCACGAGCAGCCACACGCAGGCCGAGACCACCCGCGCCCCGCGCACCGAGAGCGCGTTGACCTTGAACCGAGGGTGCACCACGCGCAAGTAGCGATCCAAGGCCACGGCGGTCAGGAAGGCCACGCCCGCCCCGCGGGTGACCGACAGCAGGAAGAGCAGCGCGTGGCAGGATGCGTGGCCCCAGCTCCACTTCTTGTGCCTCAGGTAGAAGGCGATGCGGAAGGGCAGGCAGGCGCTCAGCAGCAGGTCGGCCAGGGCCAGGTTGAACAGGTAGACGGCGTAGGGCTTCCACACCTGGAGGCGCAGGCAGAAGGCCCACAGGGCCACGGCGTTGGACAGCAGGCCCAGGCCAAACTCCAGTATGAGCAGCATGGCCACCGAGCCCTCCACCCAAGCGCTCTGCAGAGAGCAGTTGGCGGGCGCCATCGCACCTTGGATCTGCCAGCAGACACCCCCGCAGAGCTGCACCCCTCACCGGGGCGGCCTGCAGCTCTGCTCTATCCTACGGCCGGAAAGGAAAGGTCTCCTCCTGGCCCCACACATCTCCGGCTGGTCAGATGCAAGCAGAAATGTGTTTGGGAATGAGGACTGGGGGAAGAAAAACCAAAACACCCTGGCAGTTTTATTTTCTCTTCCTTAGGCCCCAAAAGGGGAAGCTGGGTTTCACTTCATGTCATTCGTCCTGTGGAAGTAGAGGCCCCCAAGAAGCCTAGGCGCTGGAAAGGGAACTTGAAAAGCTTAATTATACAAAAGCTGCCAAAATACTGTAATTATAAAATTGGTGGTTGAAACAGGAGACTGCTCTTTGTTTGAACACTACCCATGAAGACTTTTCCTGCGCTTTGCATAAAGGGTGGTTATTAAGACCCTTCAGAACACAAGCTTGGAGGTCAGCAGAGGTTCCTGTGGGAAGAGAATTCGAGAAGCTTGGTCCTCCTAGTTGCCCTGTCCCCTCGGCCTTCGTTGTGTCAGCTCTCTGAGGGAGAAAGATGCGACCGTTGACATTTACGACAATCACAGTGTTAGAAGCCTGGTGGGCTGGTTCCGCTTGGACCAGCAGGGCTGCTGTGTGTGGGAGCCGGGTCAGTGGTGGGGGAATGAGCTTGGCTCCCCAGACGGGATCTTCCTAAGGAGCCTGGCCTCATTCACCGGCCTCGACTAGATTCTCTGCACTGGTCAGGAGCCACTCATTTGAAGCATCAGTGATTGGCTCAAATCCTCAGAATCGTCCAAAATGTGAGGTCCACTGAGGGAGTGTTCTCCTGTATCACGGCTGAATCTCCAGGACATCACTCCTGGCCCAGGGGACTGAGGAGTCACTTCATCTGTTTTCTTTTAAAATTTCCCCTGCTTATCATGATTCTGCTCAGGGTTCCGTGTAGTTGAAACTCTGTGTTGCCTGGATTCCTGTGTGGTCAGGACTCCTACATGAGTGAAACTCTGTGTGGTCTAGAATTCAGTATGGTCTCGGGCCTGTGTGGTCTTGAATTCTGCTTGATGGGGTCTGTGTGGTCTGGGATCCTGTGTGGTGTGGGATCCTGTGTGGTCTGGGATCCTGGGATCCTGTGTGGTGTGGGATCCTCTGTGGTCTGGGATCCTCTGTGGTCTGGGATCTATGTGATCGGAGCGTTTCATCGCCTGAGCTCTCTGTGGTCTGGATCTCTGCGCCGTCTGGAATTCTGCATAGCCTGAAAGTGTTTAAGGCACTGGACTTCAGTGGCCACTCTGCTTCTGTTTTCTCTGGGTTGTAGCCAGGAGATCCAAGAAAGAACTCAGGAACCACACAAGCTGGTGTCAGAACGGGCTTAAGCAAAATGTACTGAAGAAAGTGCGGAGGGACATGTGGGACAGACTGCGGGAGGGGGAGGTGGCTGTGCTGCTGCTGTTCAGGCAGGGAAGCCGGTGGAGTTTAGCTTTGCCTCCGCATGTCTGGTCCCTTTGAATTTTGCCACTGTTGTTAGCTGACCTGCAGGGTCAGCGTGTCAGCTCACCCTGCTTCTTCCAGTCACTGGAGTGGGCACGAAGGTGGTCCTTGCTGTCAGAAGTTGGCACCTAAACTTCCTCTGTTGCTTTGACAGCGGATCAACTGCTCATGTGTGTTATCTTCTTGTGACGGGGTTTGGGTGACAAGGCTTCTCCCAGCTCTGGGATCACAAACCCCCTTCTTCTCTTTGATGACCCTTTTCTCAGCCATCCCCCCCTAATCTCCCTGTTCCTTTCAATTCTGGCTTCCTTGGGCAGGAAAGTAGTGTTGACAAGGAATTAGCATTTCTGAACCCCAAGTTTCACCCCTCTAAAATGAGGGTCCTCAGACCTAGTGCAGGATTCTGTTGACACCTTAGACTTCTGAGGGGCCCACTTCAGCTGGAGACATTGCTCAGTGCATTTCCTCTCATGGCTGTGGACCTTGTCATGGTCGATCTCAGACCCTGCTCCTGCCTCTCCTGGCGTGGCCTGGAGACTTTGCACCGACCGCCATTCCTCGAGATCAACGCCCCAGCTGTCCGCAGTCTCGAGGGACCAACAGTAAACACAGCGCTTGCCTGTCGACGGCTGTTGTCAGTGAGGTGACGAAGGCACGGTTAGCATCTTCATAACGCGGAGGAAGAAATGAGAGGGCAGACAGCTCAGGTCACCAGGCTGTGTGGTGGGGGTCCTGCTCCTGGCCCACTGGCCCCGCACCCGATGGCAGTGCAGCTCAGGGAAGGGTTCCACTGCATCGCGAGCAAAGCCCACACCTTCAGACCCAGCAGTGCCACCTCCTTGTACAGACAGATCTCAGAGACGGTGTGGCTTCCATCCCAGACCACCGCAGTGAAGCAAGCACCCCAATACAGTGAGTCCCCAGAATATTTTTGTCCAGAACATGCTGTAGGCAACCAAATGTGCAGCAACTGGGAGAAAGTTTGACACGTTGTGACAAAGACCAAACTGTGATGCAAAGACCCGAAGCAAGTTTATGCTGTTGGAAAAAGGGGCTGATTCTCTTGGCGCAGGATTGCCACAGACACGATAAATGCAAGGTGCCGAAGATCGAGCCACGCCGGGATGATGCCGTCTCAGTGCCCAGGCTGCTGTATTCCCACAGAGCAGTGGCTGTGGGCCAGAACTGTACTCTCATCAATGCAGAGGTCAGATGTCTGAGTGCCGCTGCTGGCCGCATCTTCTGACCCTCCTGTGTCCGCTGGGCCCTCACAGAGTAGACGTCTCACCTCCTGACTCTCGAGTGGGCTGGACCTTCACAGAGTAGATACTTCACCTCCTGACCCTTCTGTGTTGGCCTGGCCCTAATGGCTGATTTCCCATAAGATGTTTAGCCTTTTCTTCCAAGGCACCTCCAAAGGACCCACTCTTGAAGTTGAGTCCCATGAAAGCTCACATCTACAGTCTATTGAACCCTCCAGCCCTGGGTAAGTGGAACCTCAGGGACAAGAAGGCCTGGTCATTTCCAGGGAAAGCAAAATAGATTTAGGAAAAAAGAAAAATAGACAGAGCCCTGGACTGTCTCAGAGAACAAGCTCATTGATGCTCCAGGTCCCAGAAAAGTTTGTGTGTGTGTGTTTGAAATGCGATTTGGTGGAAAGGGCTTGAGCTATCTCATGACTTACTGCACTGGGTAAATCTGTGGCAGAAGATCTCCAAAGTGCAAAGAGCAAGGATGTTACTTTGAGGACGAAGGTGCACGTGACCCAAGCCATGGTATTAATCAGGTCACACGTGTGGAAGGTGGAGGTTGAGTTAGAAAAACCAAAAACAATTTAGATCTTTGACTGTGGTATTGTTACTGAACACAAGGGGTTCTTTCCATAGTCAACTGCCAATAAGATAGGGGTATTGTATTATTATCCAAAGAACTTTATTGCAGATCTGGGAGGGTAAGGGAGAATCTTCTAAAACCCCGCCTCCCCCAACTGGGAGTGGTCATTAGGTTTTATACTTGGCTCGGTGTTGATCTGCTTAACATACTGCTTTTGCTAAAGTTACAGGATTTCTACATTTAAAAAGAGCTGTTTACATGTAGTTACCAGCAAACAGACAACTTATGAAATAGTTAACATATGCCTGAGAAAAACAGTTTTGAAAAGTTAAGTGCTAATCCAGGAAAGATGCATTTCCCTTCCTGTTAAACAGGCAGCTTAAGGTACAATTTACATATGACTGAGAAAAACATTTACAAAGAGGTTTACTGTAAGAAGACACATTTCCTCTCCTGGTAAATAGGCAGTTTAAAGTACATGACTAAAAAAAGGGGGGAAAGGATGGATCTTAGCTGAAAGCAGGGAATACCAAAGGAATGTCTATCTGTGTTTCATTGACTGTGCAAAGGTGTTTGACTGTGTGGATCATAACAAACTGTGGCTGACTCAGAGAAGAATGGGAATCCCAGAACATTTGATCGTGCTAATGAGAAACCTATACTTGGACCAAGAGACAGACGTCAGAACAGAGCAAGGAAACACTGCATGGTTCAAAATTGGGAAGGGCGTACGCCAGGAATGTGTCCTGTCTCAACCTATGCAGAACAGATTATCCGGGAGGTGGGGCTCTATGAGGAGAAATGTGGGGTCAAGATTGGTGGAAGATCTATCAACAATCTGCATTACGCAGATGACACAACCCTGCTTGCTGAAACTGAGGAGGACCTGAAGCACCTGCTGCAGAGGGTCAAGGACGGTAGCCTCCAATATGGATTGAGGCTCAATGTCAAGAAGACAAATATTCTCACCACTGGACCAATTGGCAGCATCAGGATGGATGGTGAAGAGATTGAGATTGTTCACAGCTTTAGTTTGCTTGGCTCCACAGTCAACGCCCTTGGCATCAGCAGCCAGGAAATTAAAAGACGTATTGTGACTCGATGGCACATAACAACAACATAACAATTGTGATAGGAAAGTCTTTTGTTAGAGACCTCTCCAAAGTACTGAAGAGCAATGGTGTCTCTCTGGAGACTAAGGTGCATCTGATACAGGCCATGGTCTTTGCAATCACTTGTTATGCATCAGGGAGTTGGACAATGACTAAGGGGGCTAGAAGGAGAATTGATGCCTTTGAGCTGTGGTGCTGGAGAAGAATATTGAATATACCATGGACTGCTAGAAAAACAAACAGATTCATCCTGGAAAGAGTTAAACCGGGCTGCTCCTTGGAGGCAAGGGTTCTGAGGCTCCGTCTAACATACTTTGGACATGTTGCAAGGAGGGACAGGTCCTTGTAGAGGGACATCATGCTTGATAGGGTGGAGGGACAGCGCAGGAGAGGAAGGCCCTCTATGAGGTGGATTGATTCAGTGACCGGGGTAATCGGGATGGGAGTGTCAGAGACAGTGCGATTGGCACAGGACAGAGCGGAGTTTAGGGCTGTTGTACATAGGGTCGCTATGAGTCGCAGGCGACTTGACTACACATAACAACAACAAGGCAAAG